TTGACACAACATTGTAAAATGACTATAGCTCAATAAAAAATGTTTACAAAAAAAAAGTCTGACCCCCCCAAAAAAAGTATGTAGACTAACACATTTTAAATAAAAGGTATGAAAATCCCAAAAATATAAATGTTAAATTCATGGAACTTTAAAAAATTGTAGCTCAAGCTTCAGTGACTGTATACAAAAGTAAGGCTAAAGTCAGCTAGCCAATCAGCATTGAAGAAGGTGTTCTTTAGTTAGTATAGACACTTCTGGATGATTTAGTGCTTGTTTCTCTTTCTGCTAATATTTCCATTAAGAATTCCAGATGTCCCCAAATGCATTTTCAGACTCTTCTGCCAAGAAAGTGACTGCCTAGAATGTTGGGCATTCCTTTATTCAAATGCTTATGCAGATACTAATTCTAAATACAAATATAAATAATTGTTATTATTTTAAATCATGCACATCTTTCTATACTCTGCTAATGATGTCAATGACCTAGAGTTGCCTAATTTACATTTTATTAATTTCAAATCTCTCAACCTATTTTTCTTTCGTTTCCCCTCTAAACCTTGCCTTATCAGGATTTATGAACCACAAGTGATAAATCTGTTGAGATTTTATTTTATGTTTGTATTTTTGTAATAATAGCTTTATTGAGATATAATTCACCTACTGTAAAATTTACCCTTTTAAACTGTACAATTCAGTGGTTTTTAGTATATTCACAGAGTTGTGTAACTAACTTCACTGCTTAATTCTATAACTTTTTCATTACCCCAAAGAGAAACACTGTATCCATTTGCAGTCACTTCCCATTCCCCCCTCTCCCCAGTCCCTGGCAACCACTTACATACCTACTTTCTATCTCTCTGGATTTGCCTATTCTGAACATTTCATGTAAATGGAATCACACAATATGTGGCCTTTTGTGTTTGGCTTCTTTCACTAAGCATAATGTTTTCAAGTTTCATCCATGTTGTAGCATGTGTCAATGCTTTGTTCCTTTTTTTACTGATGAATAAATAATATTCTGTTGTATTGGTATATCACATTTTGTGTATCTGTTCATCTATTGATGGACACTTGAGTTGTTTTCATGTTTTGGCTATTATAAATAATGCTGCTATGAACATTTGTGTAAAATTTTTTATATGAACATATGTTTTCAATTCTCTAAAGTATACCTAGGAGTGGAATTGTGGGTCTTAATGGTAACTCTGTGTTTAACTTTTTCAGGAACTGCCCAACTTTCCCATATCCCATATTTTACATTCCGACCAGCAATGTATGAGGGTTGCAATTTTTCCACATCCTTGCCAATACTTGTTATTTTCTGTTTTTAAAAATTATAGCCATCCTAGTAGGTGTGAAGTGGTATCTCATTGTGGTTTTGATTTTCCCTAATGACAAATGTCATTAGGTATTTTTTCATGTGCTTATTAGCCATTTGTTCATTTTCTTTGGACAAATATCTATTCAAGTCCTTTGGACAAATACCTATTCAAGTCCACTTAAAAAAACTGGATTATTTGTCCTTTTATTGTTGAATTGTGAGAATTCTTTATATATTCTGGATACTAGATTTTTATCATACATTTGCATAATTGTAGGTTTTTTAAAAGTTAAAACTTACTTCAGTAGTTTATCTTCCCCCATCTCCACCCACCCTCTCCCCCACCCTAGTCCTTATTTATCCCTACTTTGAATGTTACCCCGGAAGGAATTCTTTAACAATATGATTTATAAAATTTTCTTTCATTCCACGAGTTGCCTTGAGATTTTATTTTAAACACTATTCTTACTATTTCTTTTTTCTTGGCCTATGATTTAGTTTTCATTTCCTTGGATTACAAATTGGGAACTGAAGAAGTTAATTGGATTTTTGCTTTATGTTTGCCACAAATATGTAAGTCTTAGGTCTTAGGCAAAGCATACTTTTGCATCTTTTAATAGTAAGTACTTATAATGTCTTCTGCTTTTAACAGCAAGTGAGACTTATTTGTACTTCAAGGATCTTCTCTTTAATATGTCAGTGGAATGAAAACAGAGGAAGTAGTTTTTGGTTCTAGTCACTGATTTTTACCTTTAAACATTAAGATATTAAACTGCTATGCAGTCTAAATTTGTGTTCTTATTTGAGTAACTTTTTCATCCTCTGCCTTCCCCCTCTTCCTCCTGTGCCTTTACTTTTTCTGTTGATGTCAGCATAGGGTAGGGTGGGACATGATTCTACTGCTTAATTTGCGAAGAAATATGGGGACTATAACTGTTTGGGATTTGATGCTTTGGAGTAAAGGATACTTTTAGAGACAAAGCTCTTCTCAGAAAATATCTTGAAACAAAGTGTTAATGTGTTACAGCATGGATGAACTCAAACACATTAAGCAAAGCAAAAGAACCTAGACACAAAAGACTGAATTGAATTGAATATATATGGATTTTATGATTCCATTTATATGAAATATCCAGAAAGAGCAAATCTCTAGAGACAGAAGGTAGATGAGTAGTTGCCTGTTGTAAGAGATAGAATGGGGGAGTGACTGTGACTGGGCTCAAGAGATCCTTTTGGATCAATGGAAATGTTTTATAATTGAATTGTGGTGATGGTTGCACAATTCTGTAAATTTATTAAAAATTATTGAATTGAACACTTACTGGGAAAAAAAATCTCTGTGGTCTCAGATCTTTTAAGACCCCATAATATCCAATGAAATTGTTTTCCTCCGAACTTATTTTATTTTTGCAAACTAATGACTTACATGATTTCCTTCTCTGTGTCCTGTGTCATAGCTCTCCATCCTGCTGAAGAACCAAGATGATCTTGATAAAGCAATTGACATTTTGGATAGAAGCTCAAGCATGAAGAGTCTTAGGATATTGCTGCTGTCGCAGGACAGAAACCATGTAAGTAGCCCCTGTCGTGGCCTGACATCTGAAGACAAAGCTTGCAGTCCTTCAGGAGTTCACCTTGCTTCCTTGAAAAGGTTGTTTTCCTCAGCCACTGCTAAAGCAAGACCATAATTGTGGTCCAACCCACTGGTCAGCAGCCCGCTAACCTTCTGCATTTGATTTAATATTAGTGTTAAAAAGTTGCAACTAAAGATTACTTGGTTTGTGGTGTGGGAGGGAAAAAACATTTTATGATAAAGGAGAAAGTTCTTTTTCTCTGTATTTATGTTCTTCCAATTAGGTTTGGGCCCCAAGAAGAGAGACTTGGTTAGTGTGGGGTGCTGATTAGCAAAGGCGGTCAAGGATTTGAGACTATCGTGCTTTGTAAACCCAACTCCCACAACTCCTCAGCACCCTTGACTTTCTCTTGGGACGTGTGTAGGAAATAAACTTTCCCTTCTGTTCAATGGCAAAAAGGCCATTT